GTCAGCTCCCGCTGTGGTACAGGCTACACGTTCTGTTGTCTGTCAGCTCCCGCTGTCGTACAGGCTACACGTTCTGTTGTCTGTCAGCTCCCGCTGTCGTACAGGCTACACGTTCTGTTGTCTGTCAGCTCCCGCTGTCGTACAAGCTACACGTTCTGTTGTCTGTCAGTTCCTGCTGTCCTCACCTCACCTTTATACCACATTCTGACCCAGCTAGACACTGAATTATATGTGTATTCCATGTTTGAAATGATCCTTGGACTGAAGCTTAGAGTGGATGAATTTTGTTCACTCATCAGCTTGCAGCTCGCAGATCTACCAAAATATGCCTCATCTGTACCTTTCAGTGAAGGCTTCTCATCTGCTCAGCTACCGCAAAGAACCATGGTAACACCAAAACCACAAAAACATCATGAATAACAGATTAACTGTTTGCTGAAAGACATAATCAAATTAAAGCAAAACATAATCATGATTCAGAGCAGAAGCCGTTTTCAAAATGTCTACATGGGGCCTCTGGCTCAGCGCGATGCACCATCTCACCCCTCCAGTGCTGGGGGTAAGACATGCACTGTGTTCCGTGCGTGTTGAGATGGCATGTTTTACCCGTGTCATGCAGGTTTCCTCTGGGCGTCTCAGTCTTCCTCCCACAGTCCAGAGACACACAGTTATGCGAAATGGCATCTCTCAATTACCCATAATGTGTGAGCCCTGCAAAGGACTAGCATCCTACACAGAATGTACCCCAGCTCTGCAGCGTATGCTGCCTGGGACTGGCTCCAGTGCTCCCAACAAGATCCCGACTGGGAGAAGTGGTCAGAAGATGGATCTAAGCTTGAACAATGGAAGACATTTATAAAGAACCAGCAGCTGAGCAAGAGAAGCTTCGAAGAGAACTTATGGGGGGGGAGACATACAAAACATCAAGGAAATCCAAAATTATTCATGGTACAAAAGCAGAAAATATAGACTATATGGTGCCAGAGAAGTGGCTGTCATGCCACTGCAAGACAGAGCATGATCTTACATCAAAAATACTAAATGTAACAAGAACCCAGTAGGTCTATTAATACAGGAATAGCATCTACAGAAAACCACTAGTGTAGGGTGTCTGACAAAAATACAAGGATGTCATTCCTATTCAGAGAATCCTCGGACGTGCTCTTACAGTGACAGACGACTTGTGCAAAGGCAAGAGAGAAAACGCAATCGTGAAAATGTCATTATTATATAACCATCGCAATGATGTCTCCAAATCGCTGGAGAAAGGGAGGGGGCAGAGTTTACCCTGGCCACAGAGGAAGCGAGGAATGTCTGTGAAGTGGCACCGGACGAGGACTCGGCGCTCACGACCTTTGGCTTGGGTAGACTCACTCCCTAAACACGATCATCAAAGGACAAATTTTGAAAAGCGCTTTGTATGCTGTTACTTGCTAGCAAGCTGTACCACTATCGCAGCAAACAGTAAGCCCGAGAGAGAAAAATAAGACATTTCTGTAGCTATTTTTTCCATAGCATTGATCATTTTATACTCCGTTGCCCATATCCTGCCTCGCCTGGAATTTAAACGGAAACGAATTTCGAGATTGGTTTTGAGGTTGAATCCAAAATTGAAAACCATCCCAATGAGAAAACACTTAAGGAACCTCATTAAAAATTCAAGAATGTCACACGTAAAAATACGAGAGGGGCGCTGCGATTTAAAGCCCGTTCACGGCGGCACTGGGGTTTTTACACAATTACAGCAAAAATGATCCTGTCAAGGGTGTTAACAAGTAGACCGCTTTGAGGCGATTTTTACATTACCAGGAATAATAAGAGGGCCGCAAAAAATTAAGTCAGCAAATATAGTGGAAATAATCTCCTAGCCGTCGCTTTAGCGCCCTACTTATCGCACCATCTTCACACCAGAGGACACAGCCTTCTCTCGCCTACTAAAGCCGCTAGGAAAGCATGACGACAGAAATAACACACCGTGCTTTTTGTTTCTCACACGGGGCTCTTCTTCATCACAAGCGGGGGAGCCTACGGTTGTCCACACGGCCTTCCAGCATACAAAACACACGCTTGCCAGTCGGCTATTATCTGCCCGGCCTGTGATTTGCCATTAAAGGCTTCGCCTGATGGTAGCTGGCGTCCACACGGGACCTCCTGCGGGGATGCCATCTCAGGTTCACGTATACATGCT